GACCTCTGGCATGATAATTGTACCTGGCTTACGTTGTTTTAAAGTAGCTACGATATCAGCTTGATTGATTGCTTACAATAATTATCATATATATTATACAGAACATTTTAGTCAATGAGTACGAGTAAATTGTAAATGCTTGAGAAAGGTCCGTTGTGAGAATTTAGAAGCAAAAGCTTTGGGTCTCGACTCTCGACAGTTGAGCAAATAACACAAACGTCCCAAACAGCGAACCATATGTGGTTCTGCTCATACTATTGTATGGAACGTTTTACACTTTGACTTGCGTTGAAGCATTTATAAACATTTTAGGAATACATTGCAAGATAACTCTTCCAAAAAAAATTCAGACAAATAAATGTTTAGGCTTTGAGGTTTTTATTGTTCGTTCTAAGTATTAAATTATGTGGATTTTTAAACTAATGAATATTGGGGTTAGTAGATTCATGTCTCTGTATAATTATTATTAATTATTTTAACTTTATATGTAACCAGTAGTTGTGATAACGATGGATATAATTATTTATCAATTAGTTATTCATAACATTTTTTATCAATATATTGATTGAGCGCACGTACCTAGTAGAAATTGGGAAAATATTTTATGATTGATATTGATGCAGTGGGCTCTGGTTTTCTTTAATATTTTTTAATAAACAATGTGGTGATCTGCTTTCTCTGCCTGACACATATTTTTGAAACTAAACCTGTTTTTTTCCAAGTATAGTTAGTTTCGCTCATAAAAAGAATTTTCGCAAATTATATTTTAACTGTGATTCAAACATACTACCTCTGTCGCCACAGATAGCGATTAGTCTTAAGCGTACGACTCTTTCTAGTAATATTATTATTGTAAAGGGAGTTTTTTCTTTACTACTAACTATGCCTATACCATAAAACTTATTCATAAGACAATATAATATGAAATTCAATTTTATGGGTTTCTAGATTAACCTTAATACGTGCACTTATACATAATACTTTACCATCTACACCGTCTTATCGATACATAAATTGATATCTACAAAACCATAATCAACAAATCAAACATTGATTTCCGTGATTCAAACAGGAATATTTATGGCACCCGAGGAAGTTTCACATGTAAAATATACTATTTGCTGATAAAGAGCCCTCGATATCTCCCCCTGGGGTATTGGACAATAGCGTGAGCCATTTCCACATTTCCCATTTAAATTTGTTCCCTTATCAAGGGGATGTTAAAGACATGCAAGGGGACATTGATGAGTCATCCTGTTACAATTGCAGACCAACGACTGCTGGCTTTCTTAGGAACCGTGATTAACCTTTTGTTGCCGCCCTCGTGTATGCATTCACTTAAAAATTGCGCTTATAAGTGGAAGTAAAAAAAAAATTGCTAATTTGCCCATATAAATCATTACTGACTAAAAATGGATTCTTCATTGTCCATTTTTGTTGTCCTATAAAATTTATTCGATGAAGGATAACATCGTATGGAACCCATAAATATAAAGGGAAGTACTACAAATTCACGATGTCAGTTAAAATTTCTGCTGAACGCCGATAACTAAAACTGTTCAAATAAAAGGTGTAACCCTATGATTTCATTGTAACGCTACAGAGTATTGTTATTTGTTCACCCATCCATAATATGTTAGTTAGTTGTTATTACATATATAAAGCGATGGTAAATAATAGTATATTAAGGTTTCTTTAATGAACTTGGTAAAAGTCACGAGTTCAACCAGAAGTCTTGGTTAAATTTCTGGGTAAACAACATTTTGGTAAATGCATGAGAAAAATTGTGAACCAACTTTAGCGTATATAATAGGGTGAAATTAATTTTCAAGGTCTATCTAACGAACTTTGAGCTCCGTTGACCTTTGTTGGCGCCTGTATTATGTATGATTTATATAAGGTTATTAGAGAGCGTCGGCAAAACCAATTATAAATGCGTCCAACCTTTGTATATTTTAAACTTGCCGTGATATATTTTAAAAAGAATTCAAATATTTTACCTCCCAAAATAAAATATACTTCATATACTAAATCTGTACTGTGTAAAAGACTATATGTTTTTTGGAGAATGTTCAGAGGAGTTGTTCGGATTAATAACCTGCAAAGGAGTTTCATCATCAGACGTCAAGGCAGAATACGAAATTCCACCCGTATCACCTCGACATCCGTCTTTACACAACTGAGCGTTTTTTAAGGCAGTGTTTGTCATGCACCACCATTAAGTGGAACGAGCTGCCCACTGAAGTATTTCCGAACCAATTCGACTTAGGGTCGTTCAAGAAAAGAGCGTACCAATTCCTAAAAGGCCAGCAACTCACTCGCGAGGCATTGAGAATGTCCACGTGCGCCTATATCACTTATTATCAGATGAGTTTCCTGCCCGTTTGCCCCCTGTACCTACTATGAAAAAATAAAAAAAAATATGGAGATACTTGTTTCATTAATATTGTTCATTATTTTTCTACAGTGAATAATATTCATTAGTTAGTTTTACATGGAAAGTTTTCCGGGAGTTTTAAAAAATTCGTAATTGCATAGACTTTGATGTGGTCTTTCTGAATTTTAATGAAACTATAACAAATGACTTTTACTATTCATTATGCTATATAACATACTAAAAACTGCTTTTATGCGCAATTCTTCCTGTAGGGCGGAACAAAAATATGACGTGTAAAAATCTATAAAATTAACAATTTTCAAATCTCCCGGAATACTTTACAGGTAACCACTAATTTTCTAACCAAACTGTACGAAAAGGGGTTTAGGGATTCAAATAATAACAATAAATTCTGTATATTCATATTTACTTCGAGCTACTTAACTCATTATTTACATATTTATACTTATACTACGAAATGTACAACAATAAGCAACAGTTTAATTGAACAATAATAGACCTCGTACATAGATAACTTTCATTTTCATATCAAGATGATAAATTAATGTTATTAAAATTTATAATTTAAAATTTTCTTTCGTTTTCTAAGTAGTTATAATATCATAAATAATCGCTATTCTATTTTAAACACGTTTAATGATTTTAAAACTTTACATTATTTACAAACCTTAAATAATTGCTATGAAGCGGTAATATATGGACATGAAATCAGAATCAACATGAAATTTCACAGATTTAAACATTTATAGCGATTTAATAGCAAAATATTAAAATTATTCAAGATTTTTTTCTTTTGGTTGAAACTGTCGAGTCTGCAATGTTCAATGTTTAATATTAAAACCACGATGACGATACAATCTTCTCTTATTCATAAATATGTATATTAATAACTTTTATATTGTATGGCGTTATTAACAGGACATAGCGTAACATAGGTAATAAACGCATACATATGAAATTTGTACGAAATCTTAATGTGTTTATGCTGTAATGAACAAAAATTTATCCATACTTTAGTTAAATTACTATATTTGGTTTTTATGAATAAGTTTCAAGCAACGTAAACGTGACGTACAACTATAGTTTGATGGTATTTATAATTTACTATGTAAACAAATAATACATTTAAAATTAATAGGAAATATGAAGGCTTTTAGTAATTTAATGCAATTAAGAATGTACATGATAGTAATTATGATATGATTGATGGTATCGATATTCTTTCATTACTCGTCGTGTTGCATAGCTTCTATTTCCCCTGTCTTTGGCAAGCCTTAGCGGTATACTAAGGACCTTAAATTGGTCGCTGGACAATCAAGTTAAGGTTGGTATCGCGTAATTTGGACTAAAAATATGAAAGTAACCGGATATTGCAGACTCGAAACACAGAATTTCCCCTTAGCTAGCGATAATTTCAACGTATCAACTTTGTATATGACATCGGAAGATAACAAAATCCGCAAGTTTATTCATTTTCTACGAAATTTATAAACTTTCGTAGGATCATAAACGAGAAATAAATTGTATTATTTTACCCACAATTTCGCAAATAAAAAATAAATAAACCTTGCTAGGTCTGGGCCTCAGATTTCTGTATCCGTTTCATGATCACTTGTCAATCTAATAGGCAAGAAGGGGATCAGTCTCCTGTGCCTGACCCATGCCGTCGACTTTTTGGGTCTCAGACATGTCGGTTTCTTCACGATGTTTTTCACCGTTCGAGCAAATGTTAAATGCGCACATAGAAAGAAAGTCTATTGGTACACAGCCAGGGATCGAATCTACGACCTCAGGTATGAGAGTCGCACGCTGAAGCCACTAGGCCAACACTGCTCTCTACTTTTTATATACCTATCCAAAATTAAAGTTTCGCGAGTACTAGGACATTCATAACCAACGTCTATTCTATTGTCCCTGTATATTATGAAATCTTTTATTCTAATTTAATTATCCGTAAGCTTTGATTAAGTGACTAGTTATAAAACTGTTTATTCCACTAATATACTGTGTTCTTTGTTTTCAACTGCACTTGGTTAACGATCCTAAGAAATCGTTTAGCTTATAACAAAAAGCGAATAATCTGAAAATGAATACAAAGCTTCTTAGCTACAATTTTTCTTTAGATAATTTTATTTAATAACTTATATTTTTCTTTTTGGCATTACAGTACAATGTTATATATGTTATATTTATAGAACGTTATTTTTGAGCATTGCTGGAAAAATACTTGAAGAAGAATTATTAAACAATTTACTAAGAAAAGAGAATAATATTACGTTAAAAATTTTCCTCATGATATGTTATTAAGCTCTCGTGGTTATTAACCACTGAAACCGAAATGAAATTTCTTTTCATTTTATATATTCAGAAAACAAATTTGTACGATTAGAGAAGATTGATTAAAAAGTATATTTAAACGAGTAGCTACGGGTATACTTCCAGGGTAATTTACGTACAAACATAGTATATAACTGACCTTAGGATGATAATAATACAAAAATAATAACAGCAATTACCGAATAATAGAACATTTCGATTGTCAGAAGGAAGATTAGAGAGTTTTTACACGTAACACGTTTGTATATTTAACTGCATGCAAAAATTAAAATAATTGAAAAGGTATAAACATTTCTATTTTATTGGTCATAATGAGGAAAAACAGTAATAATTTGGTTATAAGCGCAGATGGGTTTGCACAGCCAGCAGCTTGGACGCGATCAGCTCTAGAATTTTCAGCGAGTTCCCGAGACCTTGCATAGCCCTTCATCCTCTCCCCTTGAACACTTTCCTCGTTGCTCCTCCAATACACTGTAGCTATCGTCGCTAGACACTGTAACAAAGATAGATATGACATTGTTGTTGTTGTTTGTGCCGTTATATTTTTAATTATTACAGAAGTACGTAAATAAGTAACATATTGTTTTTATTTTATTTAAAGATAGTAAGATCTTATATGTGTTTTTTAGTCTACTATATTGTGAAAATCTAAAATTATATTTTCGAATATTACGAATAATTAATATTACTTTGCTTCTAAGGAATACCTACTACACAATGTAATAAATAGTTTTTAAACTACCACAGTAGTGGAAAATGTCTGGAGTTGATGTCTTAAGTTCTATGAAGTACTAACACTAACTTCAGACTACGACTATGTGATATAACTAAACTACAAGTTAATACATTTCGAACAAAATTGACTTGATCAAAAAGCACACTGTGAATGAAAATAATATTTTTTAGAAACAATTCTTTTGAAGATGTTTATAAATTCAATTTCATTAAATTATTACTTTGCGTGTCTGTTTCCATTTATTACTTAATTATATTTATGCAATATGATGTTATGTTTATGTGCCCGATTGGTAAGCGGTAGCGCGCGATCGCCAAAGGTGGCTATCTCTAGTTTCGTAGGCCAACGTTCACATTGGGTCACTGCGCCAGTGTAGTAAGTCACTAATATAATGTAGCTGGGACAAGTTTCAAAAGCAATTTTAAATGAGGGGATGATAATTTTGTCAAGTTTTTCCTATATTTAGTTAGTAAATAACCGTTTTAGAGATAGCGAACGTTAACGAAACGTTAGCCGTTTATTGTTATCGATTTGCAAAGGCCTAAATTATTTCATACTCTCATTAACAACTATTTTCGTAGAGAGCCTGACCGTATAGATTAGTCTATTATAATAATACAATTTTCATTAAATGCTCAACTCAATAAAGTGTCATATCAAATTATATCGAAACATGACACTTTCGATAGATAATATAAATTTATGTGTGTAAATTGTATCAGCAATATTATTTTTCGTTATTTTTAACACAACAAAGGCTAATTCTTTGAAAGCCTGACAGGTGCTTCTTACCCAATAATACAATACATTAAGAAAACCCATTATACGAGTATTGAGAAATCTCGGAAATATAAAAAAAAGTTTTGTTACGCAATGCACAAAGAGTGAACATTTTCAATTAAGCTCAACATCCCATAGCGAAATCATTTAAAATCGTCCGATATGTACAAAAAACTCAGATAAATAAACGATAACAAATTTCATTATTGGAAAACGGATGAATAGAATTTTTGAGATAAAATATTATTTCAGCTTATTAAAAGTGTGATCTAAAGCTAAAACCGAATACATATTACATTAAATAATACAAGGTTTCATAGAAAAAAGTCTGCAAGTTAGTATCATTTGGTGTGTTATCTTATTTACTAGTGATTTGATCTCTAGATAGGAATATTTTTAAAGATGATTATCTCTGGCAGAATGACCAGCGCTGTGGAACTTTTTGCTCCTCAGCATAATGCTGAGCCAGGGCCAATTACAACCACAGTACACACACATTGCACACTGGAAGCGAACCAAATGGCAAAAGGGAATTTTTTAATTTTTATTGTTTTTGATGTCTTATTTTATTTTTTTCTTAAAGTATTGTTATTTTGTGTGTTTAATGTGTGTGTTTTCGTTTGTAATAAATGTTATGTCTATGTCTATGTCTATTATGCTAAACGAAACGAACACAAAGTATACAATTAAAGTTGGGGAAATAGGCTTTTATAAGAACGTGTTCCTAGCAATCACTTTACATTGTAAACTCCATTGGGTACGATAATATCGACATTTAAATATGAAAAGACTAACTTTGAGTTTGAGGTCTCCTTTCCTAAAGTGCTTTGGTTTAACTTTGAAGTCGAGTGCTAAACTCGTGGTCTCTAGGCCGTCCTCGTGACTGTGATGTTCTGGTGCAAGCACGGCTGCTGCGGGTGCTGGTTCTCCATTGATGTACCAAGAAAGCCGTGTCGCTGGCCGTGACCGGCCAGAAGTGCAATTTACTTGGACACGGTCACCAACGTGGTACCGCAGTTTGGACCCAGTAATCATCGGACCGAATTCTGGAAGGGCTGAAAAGGAAATTAATTCTTGACATAGCTTTCAGGGAATACGATAACTATTAATGCTATTTTAAATGCAGAGAGACAGAGGATCCTTTAAGATGACATGTACTTTATTGTTCTACAAGAAGAATAAAGTAGACGTAGTATGTATAAGTAATATAATTGTATATGTCTATATTTGTATGTGTTTAGTTAGACTTTATGAGAAATGAGATAATGAGAATGTTTTGATATATTTTTCTCGACACGTAACTTGGCCAGATTTTGTTCTGAAAGTCCTCGATGTAAAGGTACAGTAGTAGGAAAAATGTGAAAAACATCACCTGCTCGATACTGAGCAACTTATTTAACGAGTTCTATATCCATGTACATTCTAGGTAACTTTTCTAACGGAAAATCTATATAATATATATGGTATCAGACTGGTATCTCTATTCATCTTATTTTATTATTGTATAATAAATTAAATTGTTTCTTGATTTACGTTCATTAATTATAGCCCAATATTTCATCTATATTTTCTAAACTTGCAAGGTAGAGTGTAATATTCCGCGAGCTACATGGCCGATGTAGCTCATATTCGGCAAAACTATGCCGTAGGCCGTTGTTAGGTGCTTAGATTTCATTTGTTTCTATTTATTTTAAATTTACTATGTTTATTAAAAAAATTGATCCCGATCATCATCAATATCGAATAATTCGGCCCATAAAAGAATATCTTATATTGTTGGTTGTCGTTTGATTAATATCCTAGTGGTTCCACTGATGGGTTACAAGGGTCTTTTCGAATACAATTATTAATATATATATATATATATTAATAATTGTATTTATATATATATATTCATTTTAATATAAATATTTTGCTTAAAATGAAATAAAATAAAATAATTTTTTTTTTCTTGAAATGTTATTACAAAAGTGCCAAAGTGTAACTACACTGTACAAGATTTGAGAATAATGAAAGTGACTGAAAACTGTATATGTGTAACAATTACTTTTATAGGTCGACTACCTTTTTTTTACAGGAGGCAAACAGGCAGGAGGCTAACCTGATTAACATCCAGTGATACCGATACCGCGCCCATGGACACTCGCACTGCCAGAAGGCTCGCAAACGCGCTGCTGGCCTTTTAAGAATTAGTACGTTTTGAAGGACCCTAAGTCGAATTATTTCGGAAATACTCGTACTTCAGTAGGCAGCTGGTTCCACATAGTGGTGGTGCGCGGCAGAAATTGCCTTAAGAAACGCTCAGTTGTGGAACGATGGACGTCCAGGTGATACGAATGGTATTTTGTTTCTGCCTAGACGTCCGATGATGAAACTCAGCTGTAGATGTACGGCCAAGCGGAAGGAGCTGGTACTGGGTAGCTCCAGCCCAGAGGTGAGAACAGTACTCCATGTGGGGCCGAATTTGCGCTTTATAGAGTTGCAAGCGGTGGCGCAGAAAACTACCTGACTGCCTGAACAATTATTAATTTAATACATTACAATAAAACGAATGACTGTAGTAAGACATATTACTAAATTATTCGACAATATTACATTATATTATAAAAGAACCGAATAGCAGTAATTACAATTTCAATAAAATCGCAAAAACATTCCGTCAACAAAAATCCATCAGTGACTAATCAGCGAATTAAACACATTTGGTAAAAAACTTGCTTTATTCTAATATTTATTTATTTTAGGTTATAAAGAGATCGTAGTAGTAAATTCCTATACCTGTTTGAAGCATGGGCGTCTTTCCCATTTTCTTTACAGGGCTTTAGAACAGGAAAATATGGTTTCACTGGTCAACGACCAGGTAAAAAGCGAGGTAGAACTACTGACTCGATAGGAAGACGGGAACAACAGAAAAGCTCGTCCAAACTGAAGCCAAACAGTACACGACTGAGACAAATGGGCATCTTTGGAGAATACATTCCCAAGATGGGTTACTGGCCGAACAGGAGTACTATTAGAACTAAGGAATAGATTTTGTCAAATTGTTGTTTGTTACACCAACTGAGTTACCGTTCGCGATGTATATAAACGTTGTTTATAAATTATGAATATAATCAGAAAATGAGACCCAGGAAAGTTTCGCTCGGAGGAATCGTTACACATATTTACACTGATTAACATCCAGTGATACCGATACCGCGCCCATGGACACTCGCACTGCCAGAAGGCTCGCAAACGCGCTGCTGGCCTTTTAAGAATTAGTACGTTTTGAAGGACCCTAAGTCGAATTATTTCGGAAATACTCGTACTTCAGTAGGCAGCTGGTTCCACATAGTGGTGGTGCGCGGCAGAAATTGCCTTAAGAAACGCTCAGTTGTGGAACGATGGACGTCCAGGTGATACGAATGGTATTTTGTTTCTGCCTAGACGTCCGATGATGAAACTCAGCTGTAGGTGTACGGTCAAGCGAAAGGAGCTGGTACTGGGAAGCTCCAGCCCAGAGGTGAGAACAGTACTCCATGTGGGGCCGAATTTGCGCTTTATAGAGTTGCAACGGTGGCGCAGAAAACTACCTGACTGCCTGAACAATTATTAATTTAATACATTACAATAAAACGAATGACTGTAGTAAGACATATTACTAAATTATTCGACAATATTACATTATATTATAAAAGAACCGAATAGCAGTAATTACAATTTCAATAAAATCGCAAAAACATTCCGTCAACAAAAATCCATCAGTGACTAATCAGCGAATTAAACACATTTGGTAAAAAACTTGTTACTTTATTCTAATATTTATTTATTTTAGGTTATAAAGAGATCGTAGTAGTAAATTCCTATACCTGTTTGAAGCATGGGCGTCTTTCCCATTTTCTTTACAGGGCTTTAGAACAGGAAAATATGGTTTCACTGGTCAACGACCAGGTAAAAAGCGAGGTAGAACTACTGACTCGATAGGAAGACGGGAACAACAGAAAAGCTGGTCCAAACTGAAGCCAAACAGTACACGACTGAGACAAATGGGCATCTTTGGAGAATACATTCCCAAAATGGGTTACTGGCCGAACAGGACTACTATTAGAACTAAGGAATAGATTTTGTCAAGTTGTTGTTTGTTACACCAACTGAGTTACCGTTCGCGATGTATATAAACGTTGTTTATAAATTATGAATATAATCAGAAAATGAGACCCAAAGAAGTTTCGCTCGGAGGAATCGTTACACATATTTACAGATATCTGATGTAGTACGAATAATCTGGGTGATCAGTCGACAGAGCATAAAAATTAATTTAAAGAAATGAAATTTCGGTGAGTAACTTATAATAAGAACTAGGGTAATGTCAACGAGACGATGCTGCCTTCATTTTGTCTGGGCTATTTTAATTTGCAGCCACCTTTCCTCGCCTTTTTGCGATACTTATTCGATGAGGGAGAAAATCACCAGCTCTAGGGTCTTCGGTAGGTACTAGGCCCCAAGTTAAAACTTTAATTAGTGCCTGTGCACTTGAAATATTTACATTATCAGATGGAATTAACAATAAAAAAATTACAAACAATAAAACATCTCATTATAAAAAAAATAAAGTGCAAAATGAAACTCTGTAGCGAACAAATTCACCAGTTTCTTTTCTTTCGATGTATGTAAATTGGTAAATGTCCTGTATAAAATGAAAGTAAAATTTTAGCAACTTACCAACTATGATCATATCTGAATGGTCGGAGACTGTGGGGAACAAGGGTCTTTCGCCAGACACCTCGCAGCGGTAACGGCCGCCCGTCTCCAATGCAGCAGGCGCCAACGTCACATTGGCACCATTTGGGCTTGAATCCTGGCACAATTAAGACTTGATTAATAATCTAACATAACGCTGACGTGATTTTGTGTAACAACTATTAATCAATGTTTTTCTTATAACCAACCATCAGTATGGGCCTCTCATTGTTTATATGAACAGGCTTTAAATACGAGAGAATAAAAAACACAACATAGATAGCAACATAACCAATGGAACTCAATGTATATATAGCGCTTTTTAAGAATTAAATAAATATATAATATACTGCTCAAAACAATTAGCGGAACAAGATTTTTCTCCTTTCTATTGCTTAAACTAAAATTAGATTTAAATTAACTTGTACGCTATTTTTTACCTTGTTAATTTGTTAATTACTACAATTAATAAAAAAAATCAATTTGTATTTTTTTTATTAAAAAAAAATTAAAATGTGCATTGTAGACGAAAAACAAAGTGACGTCTTTGAATTTTCATTACTTTCTAATCACAGAAAACACATTTTAAGTAGTTTTTTTCAATCTTTTGAGTATTAATAGAAATTGAAGTGAGCCTTTTGAGTATTGTTATTCATTGAAGCGAGTGAGTTTAGGTCATAATGCCAGATCTGACTGAATTGCATGTCTCCCGAGCTATCGCTTTGCTTGAAGAGGGTCGAACTATGCGTTATGTAGGAAATGATCTAGGAGTAGCCCCTTCTGTTATCTACAGACTTTGGAAGCGATACCGTGAGACGGGAGAATACTCACGAAGGCGTGGTCAAGGTCGAAAGAGAAAAAATACACTTTTGCAAGATCGCTACATCGTCAACTGTGCTTTACGTAACCGCACCACAACTGCAAGAGATCTACAAAATACACTAAGGACGGCTACTGGTGTAGAAATTTCCGACCAGACGGTAAGAAATAAGTTGTTTGGTAGCCAATTTGAGATCACGCCGACCAGTTCGGGCTGTGCGTCTAACAATTCAACATAGACAAGCTCGCCGACAGTTCGCGCAAAATCACGCTAATTGGCAACTTCGACATTGGAGGCCAGTGCTTTTTACTGACGAATCACGATTCCGTCTAACACGTTGCGATGGTCGTCTCCGTGTTTACAGACGCCCAGGCGAGCGATACAGTGCAGCAGCAGTCCAGGAATATGACAAATTTGGATGTGGCTCTGTGATGGTTTGGGGCGGAGTTAGTTTGGACGAGCGCACAGATCTCGTCGTTGTTCCCGGGCGCTTGTGTGCTCAAACTTACATTGAAAATGTGCTCGAAGATCATGTTTGGCCCGCAGCATATGGTATGGGCCCAGATTTTCTTTTAATGCAAGATAATGCCAGGCCGCATACTGCAGCTATTACGTCGGATTACTTACGACAGCAGGAAATCCGTGTAATGGAGTGGCCTTCCATGAGCCCTGACCTAAATCCAATTGAACACATTTGGGACTTGCTTGACAGGCGCATCCGGAAGCGTCCGATTGCACCTCAAACACTGCAGCAGCTCACTGAAGCGTTGATTGAAGAATGGGAGCGAATTCCACAAGAAGATATTCGGAGGATCATACGAAGCATGCCGCGTCGTTGTCAAGCCGTGATTAGGGCTCATGGAGGCCACACACGTTACTGAAAGTCACTAAAGACGAATATTCAAACGATATAAGAATATTTCTTTGATGGACCTTTTTATCACCAATTAGTTTTTCGTCTACAATGCACATTTTAATTTTTTTTAATAAAAAAAATACAAATTGATTTTTTTTATTAATTGTAGTAATTAACAAATTAACAAGGTAAAAAATAGCGTACAAGTTAATTTAAATCTAATTTTAGTTTAAGCAATAGAAAGGAGATAAATCTTGTTCCGCTAATTGTTTTGAGCAGTATATAAAGGTAATATAGGTAGTAACATGAGGTACCTAATGGTTATGGTTGGTGGACTCAGTTCCCGCACTTAGACTTGTGCTTAAATATGAGGTAATAATATTGCAGGTAGTGGTGCGTACGTGAAACTGTGACAAATTCACAGGCTTGTTTTGGCTATGATTGGCAAGCGAATCAGTACAGAGAGGTCATATTTCATACTCCTTTGTGGTTGGATCAATCAATGGAATTTAAATATTTAATAGCGCACGATACCACTGTGATAATAACGGAATTGATAGAAAAGGAGATGACTATTGATTTTATTATTTTGTAGAACATCGCTGTTTATCTAATAAGTATGATAGAATGATCACGTATCGCCTTAATAGTATGTCCCTTAGTCTTAATCGAATCACAATAGTGATACATCTGTTTCAGGCATTAAAAAAATTAACCTAAAATATTATGAAACAGCACGCGCACTAGACCGTTTCGCCACCGATGAACACCATAGCCTGTCAGGCACAGTATTTGCTATATTACGAAGAGGATTATCTATCACTGAATATACACTAAACAAATGCCTTCAGCGACATGTAATAATGGTTTTGAATGTGTATATAATGTAGAGTATTACAAACAAACAAAGACCGGCAAAGTTTCGAATAATTTTGAACGTACTTGTTATTGTAATGCTAAAAATCTAATGTCATTAAACTTTAGAAATCACTTTGAGAGGTGAGATACGTTATTAATTTTCATGCCACGGTAACAGATGGTCTTTGCTGGTGAGATGCGAAATTAAGTTTCACTACATTTAATAATAACACGTAAGTATAACAATTATTTTAAGTAGTGTTTATAACACGGTTTTATCACTTACATTATTTTATTTTTATTGTAATAAACGTATACATATACATTTTGTTTCAATATTACAATTCCTTCAGTTTCTTTAAATTGCTGTAAGTATTCATTGAATATTTCAAAGTTTCTGCTATTGCTACTGTGAAGTGAGAATTTTAATAGCATTTTCACCTAAGTTGCGGGACTTTTGCAAATAGAGAAGTTTGAACATCGCGGTAGAAACTAATTGCGGGGAAGGTGAAATAGGTTTTCATACGCAAGTGTTTACGCGCCCGCCTCTCCACCTGCTAATATCCGGGCCGAGTTTACCGTAAGCATACTCTGCTGATAAGGGTTTGCCAACTCATTCATTGCGGACTCTGATTAGCGATGTAGATGTTTTATACGCGGACATAATTTAGATTATCGTCTTTAAACGAGAGAAGGTGTCGCTGACTAGCGAATACAGAAAGGGATAGAATAAGACACATAATATTACCTTACCTACAGAGGTAAGATAAAAATACTTTAGGATTTATTCATAAACATGCCTATAAACTTTATCCATAAAATAGAATAGAGATGTATCAGTGTATTAATTTAAAGCCATGCATCTCTTATCAACACAGCACAAACTCAATTTAAAAGAAAAATACAAAATTAGTACTTTTTATAAGACAGTGTAAATTATATTATTACGCGAAATAAATGATGTTTGTTTTTCATATATTTTATGTTTGATTAGATTTTTTATTTACAATATTGTATGATCAAGTGCTGTAAGAACTACAGAACTATACCAGAGTAAGAACAAAGTACTTTTTCGAAGCGAATTCGACTGCAACAGAAATTGACACTGTCTTTAGTAGCCTTACTAACATTAAATATACCAACCTCAACATCCACGCCCGGTAAAAAGAATTTTCTCCTTGTCTCACTATCTCGTGGGACGTGTCTAAAAAACTCCTTGCCATCTTTGTACCACTTAACGGAATAAAGCACATCAGAAGGGCCAAGCTGCCACCTGCACGAGAGGGTTGGCCTTGTGCCCATTGGTACGTGTGTGGGGACTCGGAGTTCCAACAGTTCCAGACATCGGACAGAATACTCTGAAAAAAAAACTTTCTTTAACACGTCAATCCTCGGGATTGCGAATTAAATATTACGAATTTTAACGTTAAAAAGTTATTTACGTAATATTTAACAATAACATAAAAACAACTCAAATCCAAATATTATTCTAAATTAAACAAAATTCAATATTATAAAATAAAAACCTAATTCACAATTGTATAAATCTAATTTTAGCGTTAAGTAGCAAAAATATATGCTTCATATGCCTATCATACATTTCACTTGTACGTTCATATTTTTATTTGCCTGTAGGTAGTTATGAAGGCAAAAATCCATTAAACGGCACGTCAAATAATTTCCCATGTGACGGCATTCGTGGGCCGTAAAAGAGGCACTATTCTGCCGCCGAGATAGGGTTGCCACCCTGCATAATATTATTATTGTCCGTCTGCTCGTGTCAAAAGGGATTCGTTCCGTGGACACTGGCACGTAAATTGGGTTTTGCACTCAAGTTACGATTGCTACGCTTGTAGACGATAAGCTCAGTTCTTTATCGCAGTAAAATATTGTATAAACATTTATTCGTAATACGGAGATCATGTCAATATAATTATAATAATTAAGTCGGTATTATAATTTATTATTAATCGCAATCAGATGGTTTCTTAGAAAGCAAATTCTAGAAAACTAATGAATCCCGGAACGAAAGATGGACACAAAATAATAATTAATTAAGCTATATTATTAGCATTTATGCAGATTAAATTATTACAAGCCAACTATCAATCTACTCTTAAAAAGTATTTTTCATTTGACAACCCTAACTTGGCGGGTAATTTTACTTTACAAGCCGCGGGGAGCGCAAATGTAAGTAAATTGGTGAATAAAGTCTTCACCGCGAAAATATTATGAAGTATATCAATACTAGAATATTTCGCTAAATATATAAAGCACTCAAGAGGTGTAATTCAATTTTCCCAAATTTCATCAGTTTAGGATCCTACACCTAACATGCCTTAACGCAAAAAGTATTTCAGAAATGACTTCACGTCTAGTCAAGAATGACGTCGGGATGACAAGCATCTATTTGGTTATTCTTATGTCCTTCGTGACTTAATAAAGAAAATTAACGAAAGTTCAATACTTGGAAAAGTGTATCAAATACTTTTAAACTTAATATGTTAAGTGCATAATTATATGGAATTTGCATAAAAGCTCTAATCCATTTATTAATACAAATTACGAAAGATACAAAGATTACTATAAAAACAAAATGTAATCAGAATAAATTGTATTTGTGTTGTTATCTGTGCCTGCACTCGCCCCAAGACTCGGATTACAATTCTAGATTTCATTTTTATTCAATCCTAGAAACTGCATTTTGTCAAGAAAAATACTATGCAAACTAGATACGACTCTTGTATTCCGTACTGTATAAACATAGTTGTTGTCTGTTTCTGCATCGAATATATATTAGAAGAACGACGTTTATGTGCTACGCTGATTTGTAACGAGAGACTTTTCGCTGAAACATACTTGCAATGCTAACACTTAATTAAATATATTAAACTTAAAGCAATACTTACTTAATAATAATCATGTCATACAGCCTCGCTACTTTATAACATAATAGTTTTATCAAGTATGTTTAAAAATGACGATAACAAAAAAGGCGAATATTTTGTAAGGATTCCGTTGAGTAAAATGTAACGAAATAGTTGAACTAATTAGTAAATGTACCATGATGTACCAGTTAATTTTAATAGAGATTGTACAATATTTATCTAGTTATTATAAAATATTGTAAAATAATAAATTTTACGCCTTGCTGAACAAAAGGGCATAATGATTTATTCCATTTGTATAATATTACTCTTTTCAAACAAAATAATATCTATAACATAGCTAAATCACTTTCCGCAGACTAAAGTGTTCATTAGCTTAAGCACGCATGAAGCCGCAGCACCGCGCTGCGCAGTAGGGAGTTATAAATTAAAAAAATCCCCAACAACGTTATAATCAGGGAGTAATACAATGTAACCTCTAGACCGTGCCGCGATGAAATATTTAAATTTGCACATTTATTACCGCAAAACTCCAATTTTTCTTTAACAAATTGAGTAATGTTTGAGGGCACCTCTATTTTTGCGTGTCGCAAAGTCGTTTGTGAAAATCGTATGAGAAATTACTTGGTATATGACTTTCTGTATTATATAATATTATTATCGTATAAGCTTTACTATGTTACGAGGTTGATGCGTCAGTTTACTGTTTATTTTTTTCAAATTACGCATTATCGTTTACATTTAGGGGAAAATAAAATATTTAATAGATCCAAATTTGTGATAATTAAAGTTAATAATCTTAAACTCGTATAAATAAATAATAATATTAACGAAATAGTTTTTTAAAATAAAATGTCAGCTATCAGCAGCAGTTCTCGTAATTTTCTCCCTGTCTTCTAATAAATCTTCAAAATGTTGATAGCAACGTTCTTTTCATGGCTAAGCTAACCATGGTATTGTAACGTAGACAGGATCGTGACGCCAAGTGCTTAGAGGGTGATAAGACACGCCCTCACTACTATGAGTCCTGTAGACAGCTTCAGAATCCTTAACACAACGGATACTGTCAAGAGAATAGACATTAATGAGCACTTCGTCATAATTGCATATTTGTTGGAAATGTAACGCCAAACTCAAACGAAACGTGGTTAAAATAAAAATTAAGCTTGGTTACGGTACAGTATAATTTTAAATCATATTTTATCTAAATTTCAACAGAGAATACTACTGAAAACCTAAAACTCTAAGTAGATAAAGAGGCTGACTCTGTGTGCTATGTTTCACGGATATTTTTTACATAATTGCGCTAAACAATTATAGTCTTGTGCATCGCTAACAGAATATATAAAAAAATGTTTTAGTAGTTTAACATATAATAAATGTTGTGCAATAATAAACAATTGAATATTCATATTTTATTAAATACCCGGTTAACAGTATCACCTACATAAATTTGTATCAAAACTTAATACAACATTTTAAAAACAAACCAGAGATCGGACCTCATACTTCAGTCATGAAACACAAATTTCTAAATCATCTAATTTGACAACCAAGTGACAACTTTTTATTTATAAAAAAAAACAAAAGACATCAAATATTTCCCAGCTAGGAATAGGTTTTATTGGATGCATTTAAACTTTCCCTGAACTTAAAAAATATTTCAAATTAGCCAAATCGGTCCAGCCATTCTCGAGTTTTAGCGAGACAAATGAACAGCAATTTTTATATGTATAGATGACTGTCATTTTTCATTCCCCAATAAAAACAAATAACTTTTTGTTATTGTGATAAATTATATTTTTCACTGTATCATATTTAGCATAGCCATCATATTCACGTTGGAATTCATCTGATAAACTACGGTTGCACTTTTGTGCTTTGAAATAAAAATCCTGGTATTTGAGTGGCTCGTTGAATATGTAATCGGGACCACTATGGGTATCAGGTGTATTGATGTTACGACTACAGACAAACATAATGTATTGTTTCAATACCCGGCTGCTATCCACAGTCGCATTCACCTATTTCCTATTTCCATTTCACGAAATATTCTAGTAAATCGCGAAGGTTTATTATGCCTTCGTGACCGAGCTTCTATGAGTCAATTTGTTCTGGATCACGTTTCGTTAAAAACATGCAAAATTGGTGAAACATGACGCTCCAAGGCGTTTAACGCATATTTGGTACAGCGTTTAAAAAGGTAGGGCGAAGGTTAAAATAACTATGAATAGGTTTTGTTACAACTTTAGTAAAGACTTATAAGAATACTATTAAGTCTTCCCAATTTTATTGTGTCTAGCAGAAAATATTATTCGTAGTTTTTATTAATAATATTAGGTCCTTACATATGAAATTGGCGTTTTTCGTACTGGCCACTTTAATCACGATGTTCTCCTCTTTGGTAAGGAATTCCAAATTCAAATTTGTACAGCTATTTACTCATGTATTTGTGCTTCGATGACCGTCATTCATTTGTTTTTTCTTCTGTTTTTTTCTGTTTGCGTCACTCATTTTACAAAATGGAAAACTTAAAGTATCGCATTATTTACGAGTACGAGTTCCGCCGTGGCACTAGTGCTGCGGAAACGACTCGAAGGGTGAATGATGTGTATGGCGGTCATGTTGCAAAAGAAAACACAGTTCGTTTTTGGTTCCAACGTTTTCGTTCTGGAAATTTCGACCTGCAGAACAAGCCCCGTGGACGGCCTGAGACCCAAGTTTATAATGAAGTATTGAAGGCTATTGTGGAAGCGGATCCATCGCAAACCACGTCCGAGTTAGCTGCAGGCTGCGTTGTTAGTGATAAAACTGTTTTAATTCACTTGAAGCAAATTGGGAAGATTAAAAAGCTTGAAAGATGGGTACCTCACGAATTGACTGAAGCAAACCGGCAAACGCGCGTCGACTGCTGCGTTACATTACTGAACCGGCACAATAATGAAGGTATTTTAAACCGAATCATCACCTGTGATGAAAAATGGATTCTTTACGATAATCGGAAGCGCTCAGCGTAATGGTTGGATCCTGGCCAGCCAGCCAAATCCTGCCCCAAGCGAAAATTAACCCCAAAAAAGTTACTTGTAAGCGTTTGGTGGACTAGTGCCGGTATTATTCATTGCAGTTTTCTCAAATCTGGCCAGACTATTACGGCTGATGTCTATTGTCAGCAATTGCAAACCATGATGGAAAAGCTAGCGGCTAAACAACCTAGGCTGGTCAATCGCTCCACGCCACTGCTACTTCACGACAACGCTAGACCACACACTGCACAACAGACGGCTACCAAATTAGAAGAGCTTCAATTGGAATGTCTAAGACATCCTCCGTACTCCCCGGACCTTGCTCCAACAGATTACCATTTTTTTCGAAATTTGGATTTGCAAGAAGCAAGGGAAAAAATTTAACTCTGAT